AGAAAATAAAAACCAGTTGGTGGAAAAGGCCTCCAGTAGGTGGAGCAGTTTGTTTGCTGAAACCATTGAAAGACTCTTGAGGTAGGGAGATACTGTAAAAACAAATACATTCAAAATAAAGAATCCTATTGTTTACCATCCATAAGATGAAGGTATTTTACCATTAACAATGATTGTGAGGAGGCAATCAAACAGAGGCTGGAGCCGCTGGTGGCCTGTAGTGATAATCTTGTGGAAAACCTGCACCAAAATACAGAAAGCATGAGCATAGTTTAAATCCGTGTTTGTGATTCATGCATCCTCACCACAATGAGCAGGTCTGCGTGTGTCCCGGTGAACACAGGGATGTCCATAGGCACATTTAGGGAGTACGGTTTATTCAAGCGCACGCCAAAGTTCCTCTCCCCACTCAGAAGCAGCAATATGAAAACACCAATGTGCATTAGTCCAACTCGAGCTACAGACAAGAACACAAAATTAGAATGGAGGATAACTGTCGAGCTGAGGCGTGTTCATCAGGGACCTACACTGATCTGCTCTGGCATCGTTCAGATAGTACAGTATAGGAACCAGGATATCCAGCACATCACTGCTCTTTAGAACAAAAAACAGGAATTTCTGCAGAAAGAAACAAAAATATTACCAAAAGAAATACCTTCAAATTCCCACACTTGCGCACTAACCTTATTAAAGTCACAAAGCTTCCAGAACAAAACAAGCAGCTCTTGGTGAAACTGAATTTTCTTGGTGGAGTTTGGAAGATATGTTTGAGTGAGAGGGTTGGTCAGTAAACGAGCCAAGCCTTTTAATACAAAGTCAAAGTCCTGTAAAAGTACATTCAAAATCAATTCTCACAAGTTAACATTTATGAAAAATACCAATGATCAAGCAAAAATGTACCTCCTCTCTGTGGATCCTTGACAAATAGTTTACAAACAGATTTTCAGGACCTGCAAACTGCAAGAAATGATATGTTAAAGCTGGGGTACTTAACTTTTAAACAAGAAACAGAACAATGTAACTGGTGGTCAAAATACTTTTCTTCTATCACTAGTTTTTACAGTACATGCAGGTATGTTCAGCCTCTATTGCATATTTAGTTTTTTTTTTTTTTTTTTTTCAGACAGTAACGTAAAAGGAAAGGACCACCCTTACTCAGCCAATCAGCTCTCAGCATCAAATGGTGACCCACTTTTTTACGCAAAAGATAAAATGGTTTCTAATAGGATAAGATAGTTTACTTATAGATTACTTCTGCAATACTCCTTCTGTAGGTACAAACCACATGAATTATTTACAAAAAATAAAAAAAAGTTAGGTACCCCAGTTTTACCGTGACACATTTAATCACATTTACACACTATGGCAAAGTAAGGCAGCACCAACAATTACAAGATTTTTTTTTTTTAAATCGATACATTCAAATAATGCGGTGGTGACAAAAAAAGGGGAGGAAGAGGTTTTAATGTCAATAAAAATATATATTTGATTTGTCATACCAGTAATATTATCATATTTATAATTAAAATAGAAGATATCAAATACAAAAATTAGATGTGCAATTTGGGGGAACAAAATCAAACCCAATCCACAACAACAACAAATTTCCGGGATGCCCAGCCCTATGTGAAAGACACTGTACCTCTTGTTCTTCAATGCTTGCGGGAGAAACTGGTCGGCGGGGGGGTCCTCCGTCATGCTCCAAAGTGACGATCAAGATTTGCACTGCCTGCTCCACCAGCTGCTCTCGGTAGTCGGAGAATAAGAGGTGGTTGTACGGAATACCAAATCCAATAGGATCATAGGCACAGACGACGTTGACCAGAGAGGTAAACAGCGGTAATGCATGACTGTGAGAAATAAAAGTGGTGTCAGAAATAAGGAAATGAATTAAAAAATAATACTTATTTTAACGTTTCATACCGGTTTTCAGCTGAACAGAAGAACGTTACCCATGGATTGAGGATGCTGTTGTCTGACGATGGTGGGAGGTACATTGCCTCAGAAAAACAGGTCAGTAATAATCTTAGCAGCTCAGTCCTGACAAATAAACATACAACGTATGAATTGGGTCAGTCGTGTATATTTTTTTCCAGTTAAAAGAAAGGGTTGAATGTACCTGTTCAGGTCATGGATGTAGTTGAGAGGTGGTGACTGGGCAAAGCCTACTCCTGCCTCCCAGATGTATTCACAACTGTCTATGGTCTGCATATTTTCCACAGAATCCTGGAAATTAAAACCAATACACCAGAACTGTTATATTGCAATTATATAGATTAGTTAGACTTTAAAATCATTTATGTCAAGTCTATAAGAGAAGCAGAAAAAACATGTTTTGTATTGTGAAGGAATTGTTGAGAAAATGGATGAAACCTCTATTTCTCTTAAATATAAAAGGACAGAAGGTGTTGAGTCCAGTTTTTGTGACTCTCCTGTTTTCCTGGTTCATGCCATCTTGCTCAGTGATCTCTCTCTCTCTCTTTGTTTGTTTATTGAGTAACTGACACATATGTGAGTGATCATGAAGACACAAGGAAGAAGGAAGCAGCTGGCAATGTTTTCAAGTCACTGTGTGTTGGCAGATTTGAAATATATACTCACAGGGCCCCTTTTGTGGCTGTGTACTGTGAAATCAGGGCAGAAAAGCAGGTCCGCAATAGCAAGGAGCAGTGATTCAGCAAGTGGTCGAGCCCCATCATCGTCGTCCAAATCCTCAGCCTGAAAAAAACCCCAGTTAATATTCATCACAGTAGCCTAATACCTCTTACACCTACCCCAGCTCTGCCAGCACCAGGTACTGTAGACCAGAAAAAGCCTCTCCAATCTTGGTCTTCAAAGATGTAGGGAAGGATGCGGCTCAAGATCCTAGTGCAGTTCAGAACCACCTGCTTGTCCCGTTCAGTGGGGCATCCGGACTCGGCCCCCTGAACCAGCTTCTCCACAGCCTGCGATGAATGTGCATATGTTATGCCTACAGTTGGTTAACAAAACAGTGTGTTGTATTGATGAGAACAAATACAAAAATAAGACTAAATCACTGCCTATCAGTTGGTAGCATGATATGGCAAGAATGTAGAATTTGTTTTCACTACTACCACTTAGGAAATAACAATCGGCTGGGTGACAGGAAGTCCAGTTAATAACATTTCCATTCTGACAGACGATTGCCAGTATACATTCTTGTTTCTTTCTTGTAGGCATTCAACTTGATCATTAAGTACTGAACTGAATCATCGTTACCTTATAGCAGAGGGTGGCTAAATTAGATGGAGACTCCTCTCTCACAGCTCTTATCTCAGCTGCTGGCACCAGTGCAAACACATCCTGCACTGTGGTGTTGCTGTCTGCCCAGAACTGGTCCCAAAATGCGTCATCTGTCGCTTCCACTGGCTGAAAAATATAGCAGAATCAATTGAATGATATTTGAAGTTCTGATCATTAGGGTTTGGATTTTTTTGAGGTAATGTGTTTATTATGTAACATTTGTGAATGCATTTTCCCTGCAGCGACCGCCAGTAAACAACCCTATTGAAATACAGTGAGTGGAAGGCATTTTGTGTCCCCATCTGGACCTAATACACCTGCCGCATCTGCAAAAGGGCGACAGCAAAGCGTCCAAACTTGTGTCGTCAGAGTCGTGATTTAGAATGACAACATCTTAAATAAGGTTAATAGCGTCAAATAAAATTGGAACGTCTTTTAAATGCACACATCAACATCGCACATCAACAACTAGATCTCTGACAACGCGTGGAAGGTTTGTCTACAGAGCCGTTACAGGAGAGACGTCATTTCTTGATTGTGCGTCTCCGCAGTTCGTCGCCTGTCGCCATAATCTGTCTCTCTTTAGTATTTGGGTAAATCCATACCTGTGTTTTTGTTGTCAGTTGTATCACCGCTTTTCTGAAATGTAGTTTTGAGTCAGAGCTTCCCATTGCGCTTATTTTCTTCTTTTTCCTATTGATGCCACTGCTATGGATCCTGATAATCACCTCTGTCTTCCCCTTGACTCATTGGTGGAAGCGTCTCGTAATGCGATTGGCTCTGTGAACAGGATGTCGCTTCCGGGTTGCATACATCCAAACAAGCCGTACTAAAGCAGGCAGTTCTTGATTGTAACATCAAAACACCAGGAATGCACTCTGCTCGTCAGATATAGACCTGGCTTAACTTCATAACAGAATGTATTATGCACTTCAACCTGTTAGTGTTTTTATCTGTATAAAACTAGTTGTGATCTCTTCCTTAAAGCTCCGTTTGTTGGACAATCTTTCAACTTATGACGAAATAAAACCCCCTGCAAATATTAGATTACGTCACACAAACATGCGGGCTGTTACAAATACATTCATGATTGCTACACAGCTACATTTAGCTATTTTAAAATGTTTACAAGCGGTCAAAATCGGTATAGGCTAATATGTGTATAGTTTTATCCGGATGTCTTTGAAAGCGGCAGCTGCCTCTCTGCGCAGACGCAGTCGCATGTAAACACAGATGACGAGGTTTCTGCGCTAGTTGTGGATGAGGCTAATCGTTGCCAGTTATTGAGATTAAAAATACGCGAATCTCAATTAGTTTTGATTGTTCTGTTTAGTTTGGGGTGTCACCAGGGTAGCATTCATCGAGTCCGTGTCGATGGATTGAGACTTTAAAGACATTACATTGCTCTTTTTCGTGGTTGTCTAACGTTAGCACAATTGTAATCTGTCTTTTCTAAGATAGCTTTGTCCTAACCGAGTGCTTAACCGTTAACGTTATCGTGTATATTTTTTACGTTTTTCTATTGTCTGGTAGAAACGGACTCTGTGTTGGGAGTAATATTTCAATATGCTGTTGTTTTAGAGAGTCTATCAATAATGGTGTTATGTTATATAGCTAGCTAATCGGCGGGCAGGCCATTGGTTTGAGGTAACATTACCTGCTAGCTCACATAACTCAAAAAGGCAGTGTATGTGCTCCCTGGAATAAAGCAAAGGAGGAATCCAGTGGATTGTCCCATGTTAACAGAAAACAGGTAAGTGGCTTTTGGATGGCAGTTTAACATCATGTCTGCTTTTTACTAACCATAAAAAGTCAGGAGACGCTATCAAACATGAGATTGGGTCCTCAAGAATTAAATGAAATAAATGTAGCGTTATTTATTAATAGGTCGATCACAAATAAAATGAGATTGGATCAATTTTCAGATATTTAACAAGTGGGGTATTCTAAAGCTGTGAAAAGTAAAAGTAGTATTGACTGCAACGTTTGTTTCAAATTTCATGTCACAATTGCCTTCATTACATGTCTTTCAGCAATGTATTTGGAACTACCGCTTCTCAAAAAGATTTACCATTGAATTGTTCATTTGTTCCCATGTAGACAAAGCAAATAAATCTCAAACTTGTGACAATTTAATCTTGAAATGTATTGTGAAATTAGTTCTTGTCCATCCCCACCCATAGTAACTTTCGTGCATTGTCTTATCATGGACTCAAGAATAATTGTACAGATCAGAATGTGACTTGAGTAATTTAATAATGTATAGAATTTACATTTTGTATTGACCAAACATAAACTTTGATACTTTTTAACAGGAAACGAGCTCGGAGTGGAGTAGATGTGGAGAATGGGGATCTTTTACCCCAAGCCAAACGCCAGAGCATGGGTCACCCTGTCTCTCCAGAGCCGGGCCGAGATGCCTGTGACATAGAGGTAAATGCAAACAGGGCAGTCACAAAAACAATATACAATCATTCGAATGTTTAAATGGTGAATTCAACCTATTCTATTCTTCACAACCTGAACTTATGATCAGTGCCAGGGAAAAAAGAGCAAGCAATTTCTGTATTCTGTTTTCACTTTAACCCTTTAAGCGCCAACGTAGGAAATGATGCTACATGAGCTACTGAATCCTGGACACACTTTCTATACAGGGACCTGGCTTCCCACAAACGCTTCCCTACTTTTTAGTTTTCTGTAGTTTCTAGATTTTAGTAGTCTATCTCTTATAAAGTTTCAGGACTCCAAACACGCCAAACTTATCAAATAACAAGCACAATTATTTCACTAATAACATTTATTAAATAAACTGCATATTTAAGCCAATCATTGTGAAAGAAGTGAAGTGATATCCAGGACTTGTTGTTCTTTATGACAAAGAACAACAAGTCCTCTTCTCCAGCTGCATGATCAGTGGCTCTCCATTTGGAGGCACATATTGATTATCGAGATTGTTTTTTAACCTTTGTATTTGTGTCCGGTACCGAAGTCGATACTGTTGTTTTAATATCTGCCGACACTTGGTATGAACACAGTAGACAAGGGCTTCAAAAAAACCCATCAATTCACAGATAAATTGTTGTGTCCAATTATTAATGTTCTTTTTTATCCTGAAAGTAACTACAGAATCCTAAATAGTGTATTTGTATGAGTAAAAGTAGAAATTCTATGATTGTATTAATAGTTTAATTACATCTACATGAAGGGTCTTATTAGAATATCGACCAATATCTAGGGCTGTCTAACGATTACAATTTTTAATCAAGTTTATTACGGCTTAAAAATTAATTAATCGTAATTAATTGCATTTCGAACTATCAGCAAAATTATATTTTTCTGTAAATGGTCGTTTGAATGGAAAGATAAATGAAAACATAGTGTACGTAACATGTACTGTATTAGTCTATTAAAACAACAATAAATCCACATAAAATGGCAAAATGGCGGCACGGTGGCTGAGTGGATAGCACTCTCGCCTCTCAGCAAGAAGGTCCTGGGTTCGAATCCCGGTTGGACCAGGGCCTTTCTGAGTGGAGTTTGCATGTTCTCCCTGTGTCGGCGTAGGTTTCCTCCGGGTGCTCCGGTTTCCCCTACCACTAAAAATATGTACAATAGGTCTGGCATGTGCCTCCTGTACTGGCGACCCCGCTCCCAAAAATAACAATTGTAAACCGCTTTGAGACTCCGATGTGCAGTGAAAAGGCGGTATATAAATAAGGATTACTTACTTACTTACATTAACATTTTTAACATTCTGTCTTTCTGTCATAGACAATTTTTTTTCTGTGCAACATATTCCGCTTCCTTCTTTTTCTCTGTCTCTGAAAGGCTGTCGATCCTATTTATTATTGTGCCTCTTGCTCACAACATTTTACTTCTGGGAAAAATTAGGTACCCCAGCTTTAATTTAGCGAGTTTGGTTGTGCTTCGGGAGGAGACACGGACACTTCCTGAGGCTCCATAGTCCAGCTTCAGTGGTGCATTTATAGCGTGCACAGGTTACGCAAAGACGCGCACACAACAAGCAGAGAATAGTCTTGAATATGACGTTATGGTGGCGCCGTTTGCTGTGTTTTGTTCACAAACTGTATAAACAGCTGTAGCTTAACATGACTGTATTTACTATAAGGATGCAGATCTAAATTGTCACTCTCAGATTTCCAAAAGCTGTTGTTTATTATTGTTTTGCTGTGTTCTAATGGTGTCTTTTCATATTTGGCAGTCTTCCAGCAGTGAGGCCAATATCAGCAGTCCAGAGCACTTGGTGGCTGGCTCTTCCAGTCAGTGCGCTGTGGGTCCATGCAGTCCGTCAAGTTCAACAGAGACTACCACAGTGGGACATCTTTTAAACCCTCTTTCTTATCAGGACATTAACCGCATCCTTAAAGAAGCGCACTTCCAGAGCTTGCACTGTAGGGCTATGCAACGAGACACACACCAGCTGTGTCTGCCAAATCAATGACATGTTCAAATGTCCCAGTACTAAGTCTGGGAACACCAAGCCAGCTGATGATAATACAAGTGGTTTCTGAGGATTTGAGCAATAAATTATTGATGATCAAGGAAATGATGAAACTTGTTGTGGATGGACCAGGTGATTTTACACACTCTAGAAAAATCACAGTTTGACTTTCATAGACGTTTGATCACATGCATCTTGGATTTAGATTAGAAGGATTCATCAGAAAGTTGAAGGTTGTGCATTGGATGTCTGGTAGCACAGGGACCACTCTCAGGGATTAGATTCTAGCTTTTTCATGTTATTTTGACAGGGTCTTAACAGATATTGTAGTGGAACACTTTTTAGTGTAGAAAAATATATTTTGCCACTTACTGGTTAATGTAAAGTTAGTCCATTAGTAAATGCAATTTACAGGTTTCCACATCTTCTTCCCAAGACAAATGTGAAAGACCTGTTTACTTGAAACTAGAAGAACAACATTTGTAATCTCCTGTAGTTTAACCAATCAGGAGCAAAACTGCCACCAAAGTCCAATAGTTTACAACATCAGACGTCTGGGCCTTTGATTGTGCACTTTGTTTTGCTATTTAAAGGTGTGTGTGTGTGTGTGTGTGTGTGTGTGTGCGTGTGTGTGTGTACAGATGCAGCACTGCCCGAGTATGAAAACACAACGTTTTTTCACTTCATGATCCCTGAAGAGTCCAGCCATTTTTTGTGTGTCTGAAATGTATTTTATTTGTTGCTTATAGTTATAGGAATTAAAAATGAATCAGCCATTGACTTTTTCTTATAAATATTGTGCCATTTGAAAAATAAAAACACAATGTTTTTAACAAAGGCTTTGGTCATTTGTGACTTTTTTATTTTCATGTTATGTTTTTCAAACATTAATATTTGTTGCAACATAAAAGCAAACAAAACATGTTGCATAAAGGCATCAATAACTGGGTGGTAACATAATGACATACAGCTCTTGGCCACAGACCCTGGTTATAAGTTTAAAGATGCCATACATTTCAAATAAAGGCCAGATTTCCACAGATGTCAAGTCTTTCCTTAATGCACAAAATAATAGCATTTTCTGAGACTATCTTCTGTTTTTGAGTAATGTGATGGTGATGCTTTATTGGTTTTTGTCTATTTATATCATTTGGGACTTCCTTAATAAACCAGCTCAAGTAAATTCAATTCTACATTAATCAATGCATGAAATGACCAGGAGATTAATTGCGGAGATTGGCAGCCTCACGTTCTCCAGTGTGCCCCAGGGCAGCTGCAGACGACTGAAGGAATACTACCAAAATCTTAGGCATTTTTAAAAATATATAATTATGTAGATTCTAATCTGTATAGTGATTGATGTAATATTACGTTATTTACAGTAAGTGTAAGTCTAGTGCCTCTGTGGACACAACCTCTTCCAAATAGCCAGTAATATATGACTCCCTGGCCTGTGCACATTGCACACGGACCATCATTAATGAGATATGACCTGTGTCCAAGGGAGGAGCTGCAAAAGGCTTCTTTAATTAGCACTCAACATGTCCTTGTCTTGTCCCGCTCACAGTAACAGATTACATACATTAATGCACCACAGTAACCACGGATACCTTGCTGCTGTTACCATGAACTCATTACTGGCCATTTCTCTTGGCATAGCTCCCATGGTCTTTGGGGCCAGGGCTGATGGGTATTCCTATCTGACCTTGTTAACATCTTCTGAATAATGGAAAGTAAAAATAATTGTTCTAAAAATGAATGTATATACATTAAAACCTATGTTTCAATATAGGCTCCCCAAACCATCCATTTTCTTCCCCTTAATCCATTTCTGGGTCAGGGGGGTGGCAGTCAGAGCTGCACCCAGTACACATAATCAGCCCCTCACTGATCCTCCTGCCGGTGGTGAGTCCACAGGAGTGGGGGCTTCAGACAAAGTAGGATTAAGTGTCTTGCCCAAGGACACAACGACAGCAGACATCAGTGGGAGTCGTGAAGCAGGTCTTGCGGTGGACTTGAACCCACGATCACAACAAACTCTGCTCAACATAAAATGAACTGGGGCCATATATGGAAGAGTTCCGAAATCCAAATTCAGAATCTTAAAACCCTTTGAAGGTGGATCAATATCGCACCTGTGTGCGTGTGTGTGCGTGTGTGTATGTGTTTGTGTGTTTGTGTGTGTGTGTCTGTGTTTGTGTGTTTGTGTGTGTGTGTGCGTGTTTGTGTGTGTGTGCGAGTGAGTGAGTGAGTACATACTGGTCAGCTGGCATCTGATATATCGAATGAACCTGTGTCGCTTGACTATAAATAAATGTCCACAGATAGCAACACAAATGGTCTGTTTCATGATGAATAAAGTTACATTTCACATTTTCAAAATTTCACAAACAGAGCAGTCAATTTAACCGCTTTTCATTTTGGAAGGGTAATTCCAAAAGGTAATTACTCCGCTTATGGACGTTTTTGGTCTTAAAAACTGGTTCAGAGCAATCTCAGCTTGGTGCAAGTGCTAGTTACCATAGCAACACACTGTTTACTTACATCAGTAAGCTTCTGGTTTTGCTGTATTTCATTTCGACCATGTAAGATTAAAAAAAAAAAAACTGGGAATTACTTAATCTTAATAAAAGCAGTGACATTATAGTTTCAGAATCTGGTAGTCCTCGTGTTAGACTTTGCGCCTCAAAGACTCGTTCCTGAAAAGTGCGGACTGAAGTTTGCGGTGGTTCACTTTTTGTCACGCCAGTATTTCTATAACATAGATGACAGAACTGGTGTGAGCTTTTTATAGAACATCCCAGGTCTTTCTCATGACAAAAGGATGAAGCGCTTGTGTTTTTCAAAGGAGAAGCAGTAGATGGCAGCAAACTCTACCTTTGAGAAATTTATATTCACACACGAACGCACGCACGCACACACACACACGCCCACACATGCACGCATGCAAACACACACACACGCACACACACACACACACACACACACAGTGGCCTTTGGGTGCTGTGCTTAAGATATGGAGGTGGGTGGTGATGAATGGCTCATATCAGTCGAGTGGAGAGAGAAGAGAGAGTTAAGCGAATTGTCCTTGTTCTACTGTATGTATGCGCATACATTGTTTGATTTTTACTGTGGCCAGCAGAAAAATCTGGGTTAGTATACCTGCTTTGCACCATTCTATAAGCTTCTGTGAAATCTCAATCCCATAATATTACACTGCAAAACTGATCAAATAGAAGGTAAATACTAACTGAGATCTCACAGGGTATTTTTAAATGCTTGTTTGACGGTACAGAGAGCTCCTACTCTGGCTATTCTCAATCTAAACACGGATTATAAATATACAACCATTTGAGTTTACACTGACAAAAAATATCTAGTTGTGTTTTAATTGAGACCTCAATAGAAGATAAAATAAGTAATAATAATAAAAAATGATAACAATACAAGACCATGTTTTAGGACATTAGGTTAGGAAAGCCTCACCAAAACCCCATAGGCCCTCTATGTTTTCAGAAATGATTTGTATATCAAAAATATATAAAAACTGTCATAAATGTTGTTATATTGTTTTAAATTAATCCAAACGTTGAGACTTTGAAACTATATACCATTTCTTTAGCATAATGCCAGTCGTTCTAGAACCATGGACAGCACCTCCTGTGACAAAAAACCGCCCACGTCACTCCACCAGGAGATTACCAAATTATTTTAGACTGTACTGATGTAAGTACCAAAACAATGTATTCATACAGAACCTTTCTCCCATTGGTCCCATTTTCTCTAAACCATAGTTTTTCCCAGAACCATGTGGCTATATCGTGATGTTGCTGGGTCCAATTTGGAGATTTCTGATGTTTTGTGTAATGTTGCGATATAATTTTTTGATCTCTTTATATAATATAGAATGACACTTCTTGCTACATATGTTTTTAACAGCAAAAGTAATGGTTAATTGGGACAGTGATATCTTAAGGCACTGATAAAGCTTTTTTCAAGAAGTAATACACCTTTGCCTTTTCTTCAACCTTTAGTCTTCTTTTTGAATTGAAATAAAACATTTCATTGTCATAAATTATAATTAGCGTATAATTAGACTTCTAAGATAAAACATATTTCATAGGCTCATAGAAATGCGTTTTTTTGCTTCCGAACACGGGAAACTGGGAGAGGCAGGCCTACAGAGCTCAATGAATACAAAGCTCTATTGTGTCAATTTTTGAGAAATTGATTGGTTCACTGTTCAAGTTTGCTGAAATGATAATAGTATTGGCTTGTCTTTTACAGCCATTGCATTACAGCCAACACTAACATCTGCTTTGCCTCCCATTTCCATTTGCCATGTTGCTCCATATTAAATATCCAAAAGCTGCCCCCAGAATTAATGGCCCTCAGTATTAGCAGTGTACTGTTGCTCTGGCTGAGGAAGGGGAGTGGGAGGGGCCATGGCAGGTGAACAAGGACTGGCTGCAGATAGTGGGTCAGAATGATGAAGTACAGGGTCAAGATTTAAAAATAGATTAAAGACTTAACCTTTGTTTTAGAGGTTGTATAGTCAGAGGTGGACTCTGTAGCTGTAGGAATGATATTTAATGTTCTAGCCGCCTTGTTGTTGGTTGATAGCGACGTGTATTACTGAGAGAATAATTGCACACTATTTTGAATTCACTTACAGTATTAGTATTTGTTATATTTTATACAAAAATATTATTTATTTTTATTTACTTAATTTGCATTTGGCCCATCCACTTCCTGAAAGGTCTCTGCTCTAGGCTCTGATTGGAGGAGCAGCTGTCCACCTGACCAATCACATTTCCTCACATGGAGTTGCCCCCTTAGTACACGATTTTTGTATCGACTAGTTTTGTTTGTAAACTTGTTTTACCCCCTTTGTCTGTGTATTGTTACCCTTTGATTGTATTATGTTGCCTTACATTTTACATTCCTTTTATCAAATCAATACTTCTACCATTTTACACGTTTGTTCTTTCCAATCTTAA